AGTTACTTTGACGAACATGTGGTAATGTATGTAACAGGTACAAATATATCCTCGTATCTCCATAGACAACGCCCGTCGCGTCCGCGAGCTCTCCCATACCCTGCAGTTCGAGTTGATGAAGTCGGCTCGCAAGCGCATGGAGAAGCATATCCCCAAAATTGTTGGTACCTGGCTCGCAGGTCTCTATGACAAGGATCGTGTGGTATCCAGGGCAGCGGATGCCGGCCTATCGTCATTCCTGAATAGCCCGGAGAAGGTCGTTTCGTTCTGGAAGAGATGCCAGTCCCAGATTTTGACCTACGCCACCGAGGCCATCCAGGAAACCAAGGACACATTGAGCGATGAGAGGTCAACGACTCCAGACGATGCCGAGGCTAAGTACTTGAGGGTGGTGGGGGCCAGTCTTTCCTTGGTTCTCGGTCTCTTGCAAAAGTTGGAGCCGGTCGACATTGAAAAAGAACAGGAGGCATACGATACCTTTTTCGCCGAGGAGAAGGTCTGGAAGAGCGCGCTTATGGCGGACAACTCTGTCAGGAAAACGTCCTGCCAGCTGCTCTGGATCTGCTTGGACAAGAGGTCCGACTCGACGTCCTCGCAGATTTCCCGCCTGAAGAAGATCTTTATTGCAGAGGGCCTGAAGAGCAGCCAAATTGGATCTGCTATAGAGTTTGTCAGGGTTCTTACCAAGTTGACGAGCAGGTTCCCGGAGATCTGGTCTAGCTCAAGTGATAAGAAGACTCCGATCACTAGGTTGAATGGCTTCTTAGAGAAGGGATCTCAGGGAAGCTCCGCGAAATACTGGGAATACCTCGAACAACTCATCGTTGTCATCCCAGCCAAGCACTTTGCTGCTGAGGCATCTGCAGCAGCCTTGAAGTCATTGCGAACTGGCATCACCAACAGGGAAGAGCCGCGATTTAACGCACCCACAGCATGGACGTGTTACGTTCACGTTGCCAAGCATTTCTTGAAGACGATTCCCTCAGAAGGCCATGCCAAGCTTGTGCAGGAAAACCTCTTTCCCCTGCTGGGGCACTTCCTCTTCCCAACCCCTGAAAATGCGGCTTGGGAGATTGGCGGTGCCGGACGGTTGGGCGTTCTCAGCGAAGTCTACCAGGTTGCCGCCGACGACTCGTCTGCGGACCTGGTAAAAGCAACTGCCGACATGATGGAACATTTGTCATCCGAGTTCTGCACTAGGATATCCAACTCACTGCCTGAAGTATCATCAGGGTATGAAAAGTCTCAGGAGTCCATCGCTGCCGAGGGCGACCGGTGGTTCAATCTAGTTGGCCAGGTCCAAACCAAAACCAAAGCCTCCACAACAGGTCCTACAAAGCTGCTCATCGGCCCCTCCAAAGCTATCATTACCTGCTCACTAAACCTTCTTGCGACCCGAAACTTGAAGCCGTTTGGTGCAGCTGGGGTTTTGTACAACGTCGGCAAGAGTGCCCCGCGGGTTTGGGAAGATGCCGAAGCTGCTCAAGCCTTGGAGCAGTTTCTCTCGAGCCAAGGTCGGGAGCGGATGGATGTTCTGATGAATTCTCGATCCGCACCAGATCTCTTGAGCTGTGTGTCTATCTTGGGTTCTCTGCAGGGCCAGGAGACAGCCTATGCATCTATCTGGAAGACGTGGATCGATTCCCTGCTTAGTTTGTCTGACGAAAAGCTGGCTGCGAAAGGAATCGAGCGCCTAATCGCGAATCGGCACGCATCCGACCTGTCTAAATCGCACGAGCAGCTACAAAGCTTCATCGAAACGAAGTGCACCGGCACCGTCCGCGGCGAGTCAGAATTTTGGTCGCTATTCGAAGCAGGCCTCGGCAACGACGCTGTCACGGAATCAACCGCAAAGAAGCTGGTTGACAGCAGTATCTCCTCCCTTTCTCAGGACAAACAGCACTCGGCCCAAGCGCTCAGGGCCCTGGAGATCATTGCCAACAACAAGCCGGGACTTCTTTCACAAGACGAGTCAACTCATACAGCGGTCGTTGCTGAGCTACTGGGGCTGGCTGAGCTCAACGACAGAGCCGTTTCGTCCCGCGCTGTTTCTTTGAGAGCTCTTTTGGAACAACCCGTGGACGGCACGTCGCCCTTGGTCACCATCATCCAGCGGAACCTGGAGGATGCAGGACCGCAGTCCCTTGGAATCGACACCTTGGTACAGCAGGCATTGCAAGCATCCAAAACTGGTTCAGCAATTGAGGATCTATTCCCCAGCACGAATGTCTGGATGCAGCAGCTGTCCAACTTCCTACAGGGATCTCTCAACCCGTCTCTGTCCATCACGAGCAGTCTGGGCGGAGCTCACTTCCTGGTTCCACCAGCAGAATCAGCGCAACGCGTCAGAGTACTGAGAGATCGCGACGGTTACTCCGTTCCTGCGAGAATGGCGGCGTACACCTCCAAGCTGCTGTCGTCTGATATTTCCGTTTCTACCCTACCCAAGAGCTTCCAGGTAGAAATTCTGTACCTCCTGTGCGTTGCGGTCCAGATAGTTTCCGACCAGATTACGCTGATGGATGAGAACAAGTTGTTCCTCAACCTGGAGACCGGCGATGCCCTCAACGCTGCCGAGGCTTTTGTGTCGTCCACCAGGGTAACCATCAACGGCATTGCTGACGAGGCCAAGGGATGGCGAGATGGCTCTGAGTCCGGCTCTACGAAACTCATCAACGGTCTCATCGCCATCATGACGCAAGAGACGAAGGAACTCACTGCTCTTGGTCTGTACAGCGCCAGAGCCCTGAGCGAACTCCTTCAAACCCTCACCGAGAAGCATGGCTTCCCCGCTGCAGGCGACGAGAAGATTGCACAGCTTGCCACATTGAGAGCCACGCCCCCTACGATTCTCTCAGCCACGGCGGTGCTCACCGGTCTTGGCGAAAGCCTTGAGTCTTCCAAAGCAATTAACAACCTATGCAACCGCCTCGTTAGTGACGTTGCCGGCGCAAGCATCGAGCCGGACAAGGCTGACAAGGCACTAATGATTCTCGTCCTACTGAACGCCTGTCTACAGGTCTACGAGGTGGGCGAAGTTCCCGTGGCAAACAATCGCATCGTCTTTGCCGTCCGCCAAATTACATCTTGGCTGGAGGATACCCTCAACCTCACACCGGCCCTATCAGCAGAGATTTGCCGCGCCTTGCAAAGACTTCTCCCAAGCATCAAGGAGGTTTACGGCCCTCACTGGGAGAAGACAATTGAGTTCTCCACAGCTCTCTGGGCCAAGGCCTCTGATGATCGTCTCGATGCTTCGCTACCGTACATCCACACATCCCTCAAGCTCATGTCAGCCCTCGAGACCCTCTCCGAACCCAATGACGATCTCGAAGATGCGCTGAAAGAGTTCGCAGAGACAAAGTCCCTCTCTCTGATTGAACTCCTCAAACTGGATCGCGCAAAGAGCACCCAGCCTCTCGAGATCGTGGACGCTATCATCTGCAGACAAGTCGACAAGATCCCCCTCAAGCACATCTCCGACCTCTCCGACCTGTACGGCCTCATCGCCGCAGACTCCCGCTCGATCCAAACCGCCGCCTTCAACCTCTTGCACCGCGCGCTCCCCGCCCGGCAGGAAGAGCTCTCCGTCAACGTCCTCCTCGACAAGACCGACGCCCGCCTCCCTGACGAGCTCCTCTCCCTCCTGCTCGACGCCCCGACCCTCGACCGCTACCCCGACGAGCTCCTCGCCCAATTCCCCCTCGCCATCCGCTCCTACCTGCTCTCGTGGCACCTCATCTTCGACGCCTTCAGCACCGCCTCCCTCAAGGTCCGCAACGACTACACCGAGCACCTCAAGACGGAGAACTACATCGCCCCGCTGCTCAACTTCACCTTCGACGTGCTCGGCCACTCCGCCGCGCACCCGCTCAACCTCGAGCGCGAGGGCCTCGGCATCGCGGAGATCACCGCCTACGACCTCGCCGTCGCCGACGCCGAGCCCGACGAGCGCAACCTGCACTGGCTGCTCGTGCACCTCTACTACCTCACCCTCAAGTACACCCCCGGCCTCTTCAAGACCTGGTACCTCGACTGCCGCTCCAAGCAGACCCGCATCGCCGTCGAGGGGTGGATGACGCGCTACTTCTCCCCCATCATCGTCTCCGACGCCCTCGACGAGGTCGCCGCCTGGGCCGCGTCGCAGGAGGGCGAGTCCGCCGCAGACGACGAGAAGGAGCTCGTCGTCAAGGTCAGCAAGACGGGCAAGGAGATCACCGCGGGCTACGAGGTTGACGAGAGCATGGCCAGCATCGCCGTCAAGGTGCCCGCGAGCTACCCCATCGAGGGCGTCAGCGTCGTCGGCGTGAACCGCGTCGCCGTCAGCGAGAAGAAGTGGCAGAGCTGGCTGCTGACGACGCAGGGCGTCATTACCTTCTCTGTAAGCTTTACCCCCCCTTTTGCGCACTTCTTTGCCGTTATCAACATTACTGACCATCTATACAGAACGGCAGCATAATCGACGGCCTCTCCGCCTTCAAGCGCAACATCGTCGGCGCCCTCAAGGGCCAGAGCGAGTGCGCCATCTGCTACAGCATCATCTCGACCGACAAAAAGATGCCCGACAAGCGCTGCGGCACGTGCAAGAACCTCTTCCACCGCACGTGTCTGTACAAGTGGTTCCAGAGCAGTAATCAGAACACCTGCCCGCTGTGCCGTAACCCGATTGACTACCTGGGTGCCGATACCAAGGCGCGCAGGGGTTAAGTTGAGTTGGGCTTTTATGTGGTAGTGGGGAACGTCGAAGCGATGGAATGGAAATGAGAGACGAAATGAGTCAAGGAAAAGAGGTGGTATTTTTGTTTTTTTCGTTTTTCTATGTAGGTCATACCTAGACGGCATGGAAAAAGCAATTGGGGGTTTTAGCTGGGGATAGATGAATACGAAGAAAAGTCCAGAACCATGATTTCTATGAAAAGCAACGACAGATGGAAACAAAAGACCGACGCCCAAATTGACAGGAAAATGAAATCCCCAGCAGAGGCATACGGAGCTGTGGCTCAGTATCGACAACGACGACGGACAACCATGCCAATTAAGTTGTCAATGTGACGGAGTCTGCGGCCCGCCGCCGCGTCCTCCATGAACTGGTTGTCGTCCTTCCACGGATGCCCATCGCGCATGCCATCATCCTCGTCATCATCCTCAATGACGTCCTCGTCAGCCATCTCCACGTCCTCATCGTAGGCACCGTCCGTGTCCATCCAGTCACGGGCGAAGACCGCGTCAGGGTCAATGGAGCGTATGAACCGATCAAACTTCTCGATAAAGTGAGAAGAACACGGTTTTCCGGTCGAGCCATACATGGTCGGGATCGTCCTCACCTTCGCCATCTTGACGATGCCGCCCTGATGGACCTGGTTGGCGTCGTGCGCCGCGGCCTGGACCTGTTGGCGGATTTCTTTCTGTTGAGCAGTATGCTTGGGCTTGCGCGCCTTGCGACTGTTGGCTTGCTCCCCTCCACTATCGTTTCCCGCCTTCCGCTTCCTGCTAGCCTTTTCCTCCTGCTTCTGGGCCTTCTTCTCATCGCGGGTTTCCTTCGTCTTTGCAAGGTGACAATTCATACAGAAGGAGCTTTTTTTGGCGGACCGCACGGCGCCGCAGTCGCCGCACATAGTCTTGCATCCCTTTTTAAGGCATATCTGATAGTCGCCGCCAGGTGCGCCGCAGTGGCAATGGTGCTCGTTTGCATTACACGCGAGACCAACATTAACCTCTTGATGGCAACGTCTTTCGTCAAAGAAACGGTCCAAGTCGGATGCACTCGAGGAGGTATCGAAGCTTTCGGCGCGATAATATGACGGGCTGAACATGGCGGCGGGCTGGTTCGGCTGGCTTACGTGGTATCGAGGACTACTGCTTGGAGCTGCGGTTCGGTTTGCGATTGTTCTGCGGGCCTGATGGATAGTGTTTTAAATGATGTCTGTGGATTTCAGAGACATCGTGCCGGCTTTCTGGTTTAATACTTGTTCAGACTCGTTGAGCTCTTTGTTGTAGATGTTTTGTTGGTTTGCGATAGGACAGCACTCTCCGTTGTTGTGGAGATTTACAGTCAAAGAAGTTTCAAAGCAATTGTCCAACCGGCTTTGACATTATTTGACGATGTCAGTACAAGTCATTATTCATTGCGACAGGTCATTGTGATTTACAGGCCTTCAAATCGGCGTCTCGTCGAGGTCTTGCAAGCATCTGTGCTGCAGAGCCTAGCACTATGTCAGATTAAATATTCGTGATTATGAACCATTAAACTTACTTGCTCGGCAGTCCACCTTTTTGAATCAAAGCGGACCAGCTTCGTGACCAAATCACGAACATCCACATCTACCTCCGGCAAAATTTCCTCCCAGGACTTGCCTTCAAACATGCGGTACATCTCGAAAGGAGGCGTCTTGAAGCTTGCAGCTTCGGGCCATGTCTCCCTTGTAGGCGTGCCGAGAGTCTTAAAGATGCTCAAGATCAAGCCCAGCTGATTCCCGTCTTCGTGTGCTGCTCTGGACTCAAAAAGGGGCTTGGGAGGATCGCGACAACATTCTGCCAGCATTGTGCCGGTAGCCCACATGTCGACAGAGGATCCATAAGCCTTGTCGCCGAATAGTGCTTCAGGGGCTCGGTATGCCCCAGTTCCGATATCCAGAATTTTGGCCGTGGGTGGCTCGGAAACAACAGACATGGTCGGATGCCAGGCCGTTCCAAAATCTGAAAGGTAGGCCGGTCCATCGGGGCCGTCGAGCAGAATGGCCTCCGGTTTGACGTCTCTGTGGATGATGCCTTGGCTGTGTATGTCTTTCAGAGCAGCTAGAATCTCCTTGAAAAGGCGTCGAACCCTAGGCAGCGGGAGGGTTCCTTTGTCGATGACATCGGCAAGGGTCAGCGGCTTGTAGGGAAAGACCAGGACGAATCTTTGTTCTTGGTCTCGAAAAGTCTCCAACAGCGGGATGCAAGGACGCTTCAGAGTTGCAAGAATCTTGGCCTCTCGTTGCGGATTGTGAGGCTCAATGTTGTGTGTTTCGACGATGACCTTCAAGGCGCGGTCCTTGCATCGGTAGACCTCTGATGTCAAGCCAGTTGCGACTGGCACACAGCTCTTGTAAGATCCAATAGTGACTCCAACGCCGTCACCAGAGTCGCTTGTCGGTGCTGTGCTTTCCGGGGGAGCGAGGTTTGCTGACCCGACTAGCTGACATATTTCGTCATATTGCGCCTTCAGAAGGGTGTAAGTTAGGCTCACGCTAGATACAACATGGCGAAAACTTACTCTCGAGGAGGAATCCTTGTAAGCCTGGTTTTCGACCGAGAACGCTTCGGTCTGCGATGTTGCGGTTGCGTCTGGGCTTGCAGCCTCTAGGACTGCCTTGCTGCGTGGTGGTGTAAGTCGGCGACCGAGATGCGGGTGAAGGAGACCGACTTACATCTTCTGAATGTTCTCATAGCGCTCGGACGCCGGAAGCTGCGACCTCCAATCCGGGTTGTCGTCAGCCATTGAGGCGAACCTATTGATTTTGAACTTTGAAGTCGAGCGTAGGGAGCTGCACGTGGGGATAGCAAATACTCGTGACCCGTCCGGCAATGCCTTCCAATGGTTGTTAGTGAGCACCAAAATATCTTAGGAAGGGACGAGGATTGTTGTAGTAAGCATCCAGTGCGGTGTACCTTCCACTCGCGGGAGCGATGCGGAATTTTACCGTGCGAGAAGATTCGATGACTGTCCGGGCCGGGGCAGCCGGCAGTCACCCCGCAGACCCGTCGCCGTAGTACAGTGTGGCTTGGGCTGCATTCGACTTGCATTGGGCCCCTGTATTCGGCGCTGCTTACATAAGGCAAAGCTGGGCATCGCAATTTCACGGGTACCTGACCAAGGCGCTCCTTTGGCGTCAATTGGGCTTGCTTATTCCACTATTTTTGCCTAGCTTCCGCTAGCTCAGAGAGGTTTGACACTGTTTACCTTACGATGTCCAAGACTGCTGTGTGTCCTTATGTTAATGCCGATGCATGGCCGCCGTCTGCCATGCAGTTGGAAGCCTGCAACTTGCAAGTCACGGCAGCGGGTTCTCCTGAGCATGGCAGTTGGCATCGTGCACAAAACCCGAATCCTTGCGATGGAAATAAGGGCTGAAAGTGTAATTCATGCATCGCTGGCAATGGCGGCAAGGATGATGCGGCTCAACTGGCGAATCCTCGTGTGCTGGCTTGCTTGCCATGTGCTAATTGAATTCGGGCCAGATTCATGGCGCGGGCGCGAGACGCCAGGGCTCTTCCCGTCATCTCATACAGGCACCGTTTTCTGAACCTTGCTGGAGGCGACATCCTGTGAGCGACAAGGCCCTGAATAAGTAAAGTATGCAAAAGCCAGGTTCTTAGAGTTGACGGGACGCGTTCCTTAGTTATGCAGGTCGGCGCCGCCGTTGTTTCCAGCATCAGCGTCACGGGCGGTCGGGTTCAGCATTTCGGAGCCAGACAAGACTTCGTCGGACACGGCGTCAGCTAGCTAGCATTCGGTGCAGTTAGAATTGGAACTGGGTGTTGGAGCGGGAGCGGGAGCGGGTTCGGGTTATTCGAAGAAGCTCAGAGGCACAAGGTGAAAACAAACTAAACCGGGACCGTCAGGTGCGTGACGTATTGCAGAAGTCCCCTCCAAACTAGCCCGTTTCGAGTACAGGAGCCCTGTCAGGCGAAAGTAAAGTACTTTCAGACCACCGCGGCGAGGACGGGGGACATGCAGAGAGGCTGGTCATGGCCACCAGGACGGCTGCATGTTCGGACAAGGGTCGAACCGAGGCGAGGTAAGTTGATGACTGGGCCATGTGGTTCTTGAGTTCAAGAGAGGCCCATTGTGCAGCAAGCAGAATTGCTGTGCAGCAACTGGCGATGACGACTCTTGTGTATCCGTACTGCACTCTACGTGTATCGAGTCCGTCGTGTACCTCTATTCCGTAGGGTCGTCCGTGTCCGCCGCTCCCGGGCCAACTTCCCGTCCCAATTAAAGAATTCAAATTTGCCAGCGGACATGCGCTGAACTTTTCGGCAGCACTTGGGCCAATTGATTGCATCTAGCAAGAAAAAAAAAAAGTCGGAGGAGGGAATGGTGAGACAATTGGGATGAGGTAAGAAAGGTACATGTGGAGAAGTAGTCAAACAGCAGCAGCCAGAGACGCGACGCTGGGAGCTGCCTCTGGAGAATGGAGGACTGCCTTCATTCCGGTAATAGTGGCTGGCTACCTCCTCCGTACCCGACTCACTCAGCAGCGCAACTGCGAACGAGGCAAGGCAAGGCAAGGCAAGGCGAGAGAAGAGTCCAATGTGGCCAATTACCCTGTCGAGGTACCTCGGATACCTTACCTCCTCCAGCTGTGGACCTGGCGACCCAAAGCCATTTCCGTCAGGTCACTTGCGCGGTCCAGCTCCGGACAGGCTTCCATTCGTAAACTTGGGTGCTGACGGGACTGGCCTCGCACTGCCTGCGCCTGCTTCCACATTCACCCAGTGCTGCCCCCGGTCCGGTCCACTCCACACTCTCCATCATCGGTCCAGGTCACATTGGATCCAGCTGCCCAGGAGACCTTTCCCGGCCTTTCCTGCCAACCCGGGATTCTGCCATTTTGCTGCGGTGGTGGTGACTGGTGAGGTGCTGCCTCTGTCTCTGCCTCTGCCTCGTGTGAGTGTGCGTGCGTACCGTAGTGTATTAGCGACAGCAACAACGCCTTCCCTGCCTCTGACCTCTTGCCTCGTCCTGGCTTGGCCTTGCTTCCACCAGGTCCGTCTTTCGCTGCGCCGAACTTGTTCCATCCATCCAATCCGCTCCATTTCCTCCATCCATTTCGCAACCCACCACCACCACCACCATTACCACCACTGCTGTTGTTGCTGCTGCCACTCCTACAACTTCCTCCACCACCAACTGTCGCCCTCCCACGATGCGAATGCTCCTCACCTTGGCGACACCCTCAACAGCATTATAGACAGCATCGCTATGCGCGCCGTTTTTCTCCTTGACTGCATTCACCGTATATGATTTTGCGCGCACTAATTAGACACAATGGATGATCTTGCAAGGGCCGAATACCCTGCCATGCTGGTATGTTTTGCTCTCCCCATCATCGTCACTGTTTCCCACTCCAGAGCCCGACGGCCCAACACTGCCACCGACCCCTCTCCCCTTGCCTACGTGTGCCATGGCAGAAGCGCATTGTTTGCGACCTGATTGCTAACCTTGGTCCCTCCTTTGTCCAGGCACACCTCCAGCCCATGCAGGCTGTCAACGTCCTGACCGATCGCGTGAAGAGAATAACCAAGATCAACACCGAAGTCGCAGACTGGCTCCAGGTAATTGATTACCCAATCAACTCTCGGGAGAGAAGACCCGAAGCTGAACCAGCATCTCCAGGAGCGCCGTCGAGTCGAGGAACAGTATGTCCAGAGTCTGCGGAAGCTTATGAACTTCAAAGTTCCCAACGGCCAGTCCGAGCTCGGGTAGGTCGCTTTTCCTCTCCGGAGCCTATCCACCGTCTTGCGTGCTAATCGTCTGTCCAGCGTCTTTTCTGGACCCTGGGACAAGATCGTGCTCTCCGTCGATGCGACCGCCCACTCTCATCACCAATTCGCCAGCCTGCTCGAGAAAGATGTCGAAGCGCCCCTGCGCAACTTCCAGGCCCGAAAGGAGATGCAGAACATGCAAACCATCTCTGCCAACCTGACGGCTATGGCCCGAGACCTCGAAGATGCCCAGAAAAAGATGGACGCGCTGGCTAGGAAGGGTCCCAAGACGAATGCGCAGAAGATGGCAGATGCCACCGCTAGGCTCGAGCAGGCCACCCAGCAATGGGATTCCCAAGCCCCCTTCATCTTCGAAACCCTCCAGGCTCTCGACGAACAGCGCGTGAACCAGCTGCGCGACCTTCTCACCCAATACCAAACCCACGAAAGCGACCAGGCCCAACGATCCCAGAGTAAGGCTGCTGAGACGCTGGCCTTGATGCTTGAAATAAGTACCGAGCAGGAAATCGCGAGCTTTAAGGAGAAGATTGTTTCCGGAAGGCCGCGCATGGAGAAGAGGGTTACGACATCACGACAGTCCTCGAACGTGCCTACAAGCCAAACTCTGGCTCCACCCCCGCCACCTTCTTCCAGCTTAGGCCACCATGATGACGATACGAGCGATCACTCGGGAGCTATGGAGGGCAAGTCCGGTATGTTGAGCACGAGGATCATGGCGAAACTGACAGAGATGGCTGACATGTATCGCAGAATCGAAGCTGCGGAGTCGAATCGGCACGATGCTCGGCCGGCGCCGACAGAGCATCCACGGTGGCTTCGGTCCGATTTCTCCACAGAAGACCGGCGGTTCCTCATTCGGCCGTGGCCTTAGTAGCAGCCATAGCAGTACCCACGTCCGCCCCAGTGGCCTCTCGCCAAGAGCCTCTTCCCACAACTTGGCCGAAACCAACAACCGACTGTCCGCTCTTGCGGAGACACCCGACTCGCCCAGGCCGCCCCATTCGTCTGGAACCGACAGGCCGTTCCACGAGGGAACCAATGGCTTTGGTGAGGAATCGTCGGAAGCTGCTCGTCTTGGTTCATCGGCTGGTACTGTTAATGGCACCCACGATACGGATGTTCAGGACGTGGCCCCTCCCCCGGGACCGCCACCGTCCCAGGTTAAGGAGGCCGAAGTGAAGGACTCCGAGGGCTTTACGATTCGCCCTCCTGCGGACGACCCGATCTCTCAGGCTCAGCGCGAGGCCGCCGAGGAGAATGAACAAATGTTCAAGCTCAACATTGCGAGCTCGCCGATTCAGGAGGAGGACGCCGATGCCAAGGAGGCTGCGTTGAACAGCGTCGCCAACACTCTTACACAGATGGCTGCTCCTTCGCGAAAGCTTGGAACAGTGCGTGGACGGAGAGACGTCAGGAATACCATCTATGTGCCGCCGCCAAACATGCCCGAGCTCACCAACGAGAACCCCTTCCCGACATCCCCGTCACTGCCTAGCCAGTCTTCTAAGCCTACTACTGTCGCTGCGCTCGCCTCCGAAGCAAGCATCGCTGCTACATCAGATACTCAGTCGATCCGTTCAGCCAACTCCCTGATGAGCCTTGCTCACCTTAAGCATCCTGAAATGCACGAGCCTGGTCTCAATGCTTCTATCATCGAGACAGTGTCAGCCACATTCGAAGAAGGGGAGGTCAAGAATGCCAAGGTTCATGGCGAGATTGCCTTTGCTTATCATCCCGCCGGCGACGCTTCTCCAGGTAAGCTTCTGAGCTATACTTACGCAAGTTGATGTGCTAACGTCCAGCAGAGCGTGAGACGATTCGTATCAATAATTTCCCTAGCCTGGAAGTCATTGGACCGAATCGCATCTTTGTTCAGAACAGTCCTGACAAGCCGGATGAGTTCAATCTCGATGTATCGCACATCAACAAGACTGCAACAGCGTTCACATATCGTGTTCACCCTGGCGACGCTGGCCTGGCCGCCCATGTTCCTTTGTTCATTCGACCAGCTTGGAAGCCTCAGGGTGACAAGCTTGGACTCCTTCTGCAGTACTCGCTCAACCCTGCTAGCGGCCTGACAGCACCCGTCACGCTGCAAAACGTCGTGTTCGTGGCTACATACGAAGGCGCCAAGGCCTCAGGAGCCCAGACGAAACCGACAGGAACCCACTTGAAGGAGAAGCACTTGGTGTACTGGCGCCTTGGAGACCTCACACTCACCGCCGAGACGCAAAAGATTGTGTGCCGCATCATTGGCGCCGAAAACGCCGAGCCCAAGCCGGGCCACATCGAGGCCAGATGGGAATATACTCCCGAGTCCCTCAGCAGCGGCATCTCCATCTCGAGACTGGAAGAGATCAAGGGCAAGGGCAAGGAAGAGGAAGCCGACCCTTTCGCGGACGACAACCCGGCATCGCCGGCCCTGCCAGCTGATCAACAATGGGTGGATGTGAAGCTGGTGAAGAAGATCACGAGCGGCAAGTACGAGGCCAAGTGATCGGCGCCAAGCTATAATGAGGAGGAGTTTCAGGAGGTGTACATACCCTTGTTGGAAGCGGTAGATTTTGATTGAAGGACATTTACATAGCGAGCGTATGCGGTATGTGGACGGCACAACTGGAGAAAGGGAAGAAAAAGACACGCGCGGACAGCTTTTTCTGCGCCTGGTGACGGCAAATTGTGTTTTTCCTTTTCATTTCTGGATTCCCCCGAGGACATGTTGTCACATGTCTTCTTGGTTTTCCCAACAAGATGGAGAAGGGCTTGGATTGTAGGTAGCTTTTGTACCGATATGATGAAGAAAAAGTCCTCCAAAGCACATGCTATTGCAAAAGGTGATATCTATGTTGAAATGGTGAACAGTCACTTGGTCTTGGGGCGAATCATTGTAAAATCATCCAGGGTAGTTGAACAGAAAAAAATACATATTGTCATTAAGCAAAAGAATCATGCAGCATGTAAGCCTCGTCCCAGTCCAGGATTCGAGGTGAGGTATCTCGTGTAAACAAACAAGTACATCGGCCCTGAAACATTAAACGAGCCATGCTTTTTGTTAAGAAAACCCATCGTATCCCGCTCCTACCCCCGTTCGGACGATACATTTACTCGCCCGAATTCTGGTTTCTTGAATGCTCTTCGTAAAACTCCAACGTGAGCGCGGCCAAGAAGCCGGGGATACACCCCTTCTCGCGCACCCAGAAACCGATCTGGTCGCCGATGCGACGGGCAAAGGCGCTCTTTGGCCCGCCGCCGACCTTCATCGTTCCCTTCTCGCCGTCGAAAACGATGGAGTTTTCGTACTCGTCTGTCTGAGACGGGTAGAAGGTGGACTCGACACGCATCTTGCCGTTGGGCATGAACATGACGGTCCAACCGAGGGTCGAGAAGATGGCCTCTTTGAACTCGAGCGACTTCTTGGACCAGACCTCCTTGAGACGCTTGGCGGACTTTTGTGCGGATGCCGTCTCGGCGCGCGCCTCTTCGACCAGACGTTTTGCGGCGTCCAGCTGGGTGATGGGAATGAGGCGGACAGATGGATCTGAACGCAGCTGGGCGAGAAGGTCTGCGTTTTCTTGCTTGAGGGCGGTGAGGGTGGACATCTTGATGGCTTCAAAGTCCGAGGTGGGGTTGGAGCGGAGAGAGAGGATGCGCGTCTTGGACCTGGCCTTGAGGGTCTTGAGCTGTTCCTGCACGACAGACAGCTCCTTCTGAGTGACGCTGTGTTGCGTCTGGACTGAAGACAGCTGATCTTGGAGCTTGCGGTTCTTGCGAGTGAGAAGGCCGACTTGTTCGTGTGCGGCCTCGTCGTTCTCGTCGCGTGGGCGTTTCGTGCCAGCAACTGTTGGTGCAGGCTTGCCTGACTCGATCGAAGACATCTCGGTGTGCAACGCTTGCACTTCCGAGCGGTACTTGTCGACCAGGTCCTCAAGCTCTTGAATGCGGCGGGACTTGGTTTCATCGACAGACTCCGGCTGGAAGGCCTCGTCCTCCGCGTCAAAGGTCTTAAGCTGAGCGCGAAGATATTCAACCTCCTTCACAGCAAGGACACGCTGGCGCTCGGTGCGCAGACGGGCCTTGTCAACGTTTTGGGTGGTGGCCGCAGTCTTTGCCTCTGCGAGTTGTGACTTGAGGGTGGCGTGCTCTTGTTGAAGGGAGTTGAGTGCAGACTCCTGCGCCGCCAGCTCGGCTTGAAGGGCTCCTATCCTCTCGACGTGGGAGGCTGACGTGAGTCTTTCTTGGATCAGAGCGCGAGCAACATCCTCGGGGGATTCAAACTCGGCCTCAGTGCCAGTGCTAGCTAGGTACGCAGTCCATGCCATGCGCTCATCCTCAAGACGTTGACGTTGCATGCGGGCTTCGGACAGTTCTGTCTCGAGAGACTGGGCAGCCTCGAGCTTACGTTGAAGGGATCGCTTCTCCTCCTCAACGACCTCGACGGCCCTGTGAATCTGGCGCAGGTGCTTCAGCTCAGATAGCTGCTCGCGGTTGGTTGCTTCGAGGTTGCGAATATGTGTTACTTGTTCGGACAACTCCCGCTTGATGATAGCCATAGTATCAGCATCGCCAGTCTGGGCCTTCAGCCTGAGTACCTCCGCTTCAAGGTCCCCAATCGCGTTGTCCTTGTCGACAAGCTGGGACTGGACTTGTTGGAGGGCAGTCTCGCGAGCTTGTGATTCCTGCTCCAATTCTTGGACTGACTTTTGTGCAGCCTGCAGCTGCATCTCTAAGTCGATCGTTTTCTTCTCGTTAATCCTCGCGGCCTCGTCTTTCGCGCTTGAAAGGTCTTCTAACTGTTCCTGTAGCAATCGCGCCTCGTCTTCTGCACTTCGCGCGCGCTTTTCTAAGCTGGACTTCTCTTCCGACGCGCCCTCTCGCAAATCACTGAGTTCCTTCTGGACATTTTCAAACTGGCGCTGTGCTTGCGACTTCTCGCTCTCGGCAGTCTGCTTGGCAGTGAAATCGAGTTGGGCTCGGCGGCGTTCCTCCTCGAGCTCGACTTTGTGCCGTGCTTCGGCCATTTCCTTCTCTTGCTCGAATGTAGAGATTGTGTATCTGAGGGTGCCCAGCTCCGCCTTGAGCTCCTCAATCACCTGTCTTTGCGATTCATACTCGGCAGCGTCTGGCGGCGCCATGTTTTCTTTAGAACTCTCCCGAGAAGCGGCGCGTACCGAGCTCTGGCGGGAAGCGGGACGACTATTCGCATCGCCGCCGGTAAAGAGATTGTATGTCGGTTGAGTTGCGCGAAACTGAAAGTTTTTCGGTCAGCGTTTGCGGGGATCGGGGTCTTTGTTTTTGTTTATTTTAGGGGGGTCGTACCCTGGATTCTCGAAGGGACGTGTGAGGCCGGGGCAACGCGCTTCCGCCGGTGCTATTGCGAAAGCGATTCGTTACAGAACCTCTCCTGCCTGGAGGATCGCCTGATGGGGTGTGAGAGCGCATGTCGTGGATGCTGTGCCGGTTGTTAACGGCGCGTCTGAGGAGTGACTTGGTGTTTTGGCTCTGGGAGCTCCGGGTTGCCGGTGAGCGTGTCACGTGCTCATTAGCAGGGATCTCTGCACCGGCTCGATCTCCCAGGACCGGCGGCTCAACCCTGTCGCCCCCGTCGGTTCCCCGCGGTGTCGCCTGCATCTCAGCTGAGGCAGCTGGGCCCGATTTGCTTGTCGCGTCTTGTTGCATTGTTGTCTTTCTCGTGGTCAAAAAACGACCAATCTCAAGCGTGAGCTGCTCGTCATCATCGTCTTCCATTTTGAAGAGCCGCTGGCGCTGTGAGTTTGAAGGTTGAAGTTGCGGAAAGAAAGTTTCGCCCTCTGAGATATGCAGAAAGTCAAGACATTCCTGACCTGGCGTGCTTGGGTAGGTGTTGACGCAAGTTTGCGACTGTTCCTGTCCGATTTCCTACCTTAAGCTGTTCTCGGTATCGGCAGGTAGGAACTGGGCGGTGCTGCCTGTCAAAGCCGTGGGTCACACTTGCAGCTTTGAGATGGAAAGTCTCTTCGCTATTTGCACCTTCCTAGACATGGACTTTCTGCACTACAAATCAGCTGATGGCAATCGAAGTTTCTCCTGCTTCTCTTGCCTTGTCGGATGAACCCATACAGTCTTCGACTATTTTGAATCAGCAAGCTGCACTTGCCTCTTGTTGGTCATGTCATCTCATTATCTGTTCTGCTATTACCAGTTTTCCGTTCTCTTTTGCATTGTTTGAGCCCCTTCACTGTTTCAATTGCTTCGAAAAGCTGTCAGATTCTTATCACGGCCTCAAGCATCAAAGAACAAGACACAGCTAGACAGACAACGGCCCTGGACCCTGTGGCTGTCACTGCGCCGGCTGAGAGGGCAGGGCGGAACGGCGGACAGGGGCAGCAGCACCATGACGTGATCCCCACATCCCACATGCCTGGAAGCTTGTTCCTGTCTTGGCTGCTGCATTGGTCACGGGCTGTTCCGTGCCCGGCTGCTCCTACCTAGTGCGTGCTTGCCCGAGCTCACTGCTAGAAGCAGATTTCAACGATAGCTTCAGCTCCTCCGAATTCCCCCTCCGAACTCCCCCTCCGCAACCCCGACAACGACGCCGAGCCCCTTCCAAGCCCATCGATACCCAGCGATACGATACCGCGAAACACCGCTTGCGAAGGTGAAGCTCGGCCAATTGGGGCAGACAGACAGGGGCAGCTGCCAGTAGCCATCAATTTGGTCCATAATAGCCGAGCTCGAACCCGGACCGGATCTCTCGACGCGAACTACGCCCAAGCCGATTTGGAACGATCGCGAATTCACAAAGCACTTGCGAGAGACTTCCACGGCGATACGGACGCTATTACTGCTTCGATTGGATATTGGATGCAAGTTTGAGCCTGTTTGCGACACGGCTTGGGTTAACTCGGTCCGGACTGCTGCCTTTCTCCTTGCGGCCACTGCCTGCCCGCCTTTCCCGCCGTGACCTGGCTGCCTTGTGTGTTTTGGATGGATAAGCTCGAACTCCCACTGTCACTTTGATACTGCATCTATTCCTGTCCTCTCGTCCTACAACCCCACATCGACAGCCACGTCTACAACATCTAAGCGGCCACGATGACGATGTCCCGCCTTATGGTAAGCCCTCTCTCTGTCCCTAGCTGAATGGACCAGAGGTGGGAACTGCCTGCTGATACATGAGATAGCTTCAGCCTCTTCGGGCTGTCCCCTATCACTCTCTCCGGTCGGTCGCATCGTCGACCATCGCTGTGACACCCGCCTGGTCCGCTCGCTGGTACTCATCGAACGAAGACGCCAAGAAAGGGGACCCCGCTAAGGAAGCCGACAAGAAGGAGAACAAACTCAAAGAAGAGGAGAAGGAGGATAGCCCACCCGCGTACACTCACCATGGGTCAGCCATCAACTTCAACTGGGCACGCGAGGCCGAAAAAGCGCGCAAGAAGGAGGGCCCGACCATTTCCGAGGACAACTGGGAGGATCACGGAGACGCTAAGATCGAGGAATTTGATCAGCTCCCTTACAAAGATTTCGGCATCAACCAGCATATGGAGGTCAACGCCGAGTTCAAAAAGGTCTTGACAAACGTTGTTCGAGAGTTCCGCGCTCCCGTCATGTACGCCATGGCCTACGGCTCTGGTGTCTTTCCCCAGTCCAAGACTAGTAGAAGTGTCACTGATGAGGAGTTTCGCACCGTTCACCCCAAGCCGACGTCTTCCTTGATGGAGGTCCAGAAGGGCGGCCCTAAGATGATCGACTTCATCTTCGGAGTCACCCACACTCAGCACTGGCACTCACTCAACATGCGTCAGCATCGCAACCACTACTCTGGCTTGGCCAGCTTCGGCTCGGGCCTTGTCTCCACCTTCCAGGACCGCTGGGGTGCTGGAGTCTACTTCAATCCGTATGTCACTAAGAATGGCATGCTCATCAAGTACGGTGTGACCTCTATCGACAATCTCTGCACCGATCTGTCCACCTGGAACAACTTGTATCTCGCGGGAAGACTCCAGAAGCCGGTTAAAATCCTGCGCGATCATCCTCGAGTTCGTCTCGCGAACCAGGCCAACCTCCTCGCCGCCGTACGCACTGCTCTCCTTCTTCTCCCCCCTAAGTTCACCGAAAAGGAGCTCTACTCTACCATCGCCCGCATCTCCTACCTTGGCGACCCGCGCATGGCTCTCCCCACGGAAAACAAGAGCAAGATTTCAAACATTGTTGACAACAACATGGTCTCCTTCCGCAAGCTCTACGGCCCTCTCCTGAACACCTTGCCGAATATCGACTACAGCGAAGGGGCCGACCAGCAGGCGAAGCACATCTCGGACCCTGAGTACGATGGTGCCATGCACCAGGATATGGACCCCGTCAAGCGGGGTAACATGGTCCGCCGTCTTCCCAAGGCCTTCCGCTCGCGTCTATACTTCCAATACCAAAAGAAGTTCATGGTTCCGGCTGCCGACTTCAAGGCCATGATGGACGCTTCCAAGAATGAGGATGACGTTAGCTACAAGCGTCGCGAGGGCGGCGGCTTCGAACAGCGCATCGTGCAAGACGATCCTGAGGAGCTGCAAAAGTACATCCGCAAGGTTATCAAGCAGACGGTCAACTGGCCCGCCACTGCTCAGTCCATCAAGGGCTTCTTCACCGCAGGCGTAGGCCGCTCCATCCGCTACATGTCTGAGAAGTGGACCAAGTATAACGAGGGCAAGGCGAAAGCCAAGGCCGAGGAGCAGAAGAAGGCAGACGAGGATGCCGAGAAAATCAAGAAGTCTGGATAGACGGCCACACCAAGTTGACCACTTGGATGGTTGACGACTTGCACAGCCTGCTCGATGCAGCTTACGAACATTCAACATGCGACGCCTTAACGCCTAGTACATATGATATTTTTCGCCACGAAGTTTTCAAGCTTCAACCTGTACATTACCGCGAAAGCATCTGAGCGAAGACTGCTCCTTTTAGCTCGACTCACTCGGCAGGCCATGTTGGCGATGGTTCGGTATTCGGATCTTGCGCTGCTTGAGAACTGTCTGACTGTGCCATTTCTTTTCCTTTGTCTACGTCGATAAGGAAAACTTGCATTAGCATTAGGGTGGTTCGACTTAGAACAGGAAAGGGATTGGGGTTCTTGGTTGATACGCCTTGTCATTTGATTCGTTGCGCTTGCAGAGCTGGCTTTCCGCAGAGTCCTGAGAACTCGGCCAGGATTTCTAGGTCCACTACAGCATTGAGAGGTTCAAGGAGAAATCCCTACGACACCCATGGTGAAGAGGCGAGGCATTTGGCGTTGAGGACTTGTAACACAGTACTATCAGGCGAGAACCTGAAGGCCAAACTTTTGGCGATCTGAATGAAGTGCGACAACGTCGCAAGTTGCCATGACCGATGTGCCATTCCTGCTTGGATTCATATACTTACTACAAGCCTAGGCCATAACCTTGGAAATCAGTCTCTCACGCACCCGCACTGCTTTGTAACCGTATTTTTCTTGTCGAACATGAAATTATTATATCAGGCAATAGCCCGGCTAATATTACAGGTTGTTTTTCATTACATCATCAGGCACACCCCTCGGAGAGTTTACCACTTCTTCTTGGCGTACTCGGCAGCACCGTCAATGATCTTGTCGGTGAAGCCTTCGTCCTTCTTCTTGTCCTTCTTGTCCTTGCCGCCGCCTCCCAGCATGCCGCCGAGGAAGCCGCCGCCGGAGGAGCTCTTCTTGTCGTCGTCGTAGCTGTTGCGGCCTGCGTATTATCTCGTCAGTATATACTGAGGGTGTCATGTGTTGGAAAAAGGGGAAAACTCACGTCCGTGGGAAGAGTGGCCACCGCCGTAGGAGTCTGAGGGACCGTAGTCGTCACGGCGTCCACCGCCGCTGCCGTAGCTGTCACGGCCGCCGCCATAGTCGTCGCGGCGAGAGCCGCCTCCGTAGCCACCGCCGTAGTCGTCACGACGGCCGCCGCCCATGCCGCCGCCCATGCCGCCTCCCATGCCTCCGCCCATACCGCCGCCCATACCGCCGCCGTAGTCATCACGTCGGCCGCCGCCCATGCCGCCGCTGCCGTAGCTGTCGCGGGGAGGGCCGCCCATGCCGCCGCCGTAGCTCTCGTGGCCGCCTCCGTAGCCGCCTCCACGACGGTCGTAGTCGTTGCCGCCGCCGTAGTTGCCGGAGGAGCCGTAGTTCTCGTGTCTGCCGGAGTGCATTTTGGATGTGTTGTTTATAAGAGATGGGGGTTTAGAGTGGTTGGGTGTTTGAGGTTTACGGTGATGGTGATGGGGTGGTTGTTATTGCTGGTTTGTTCTGATGAGTGAGATGAATTGGATGCTTGGAGAGGTTCAATGTCCAGAGTTATATACTTGATCAAGCTTTCCCAAGTCTTGTCGTCAACCTGTTTTCCTCAGCTACGTCAAATCCTACTCCATCGAAAACACAACAAGACATCACCAAGCATCATGGGAAGGCAAGCAGGGCGTCGCCGCCCACCGCCCACAGGTTTACGTTTGCAAGGCAAAGAAGACGTCAAGTCCGTCCGGGGGGCGTCGCATCACGATTCACATGCCGCCCAAGAGTCTAGAGGTGATGGAGGGATCTCCAGCCAAGCACGCGACCAAGTGCCGTCTTGCCCGGGTTACCTTGGTTCCAGGCCAAGCAGCAGTATACCTCTGTATGTCACTGTGTATCGTGAGCTTACGTGTGGGAAGAAGAACTGTGAACAAGCAAAGACCAAGCAACGGGCAGGTTCTGCGATGAACAAGTTTCCGGTGGTGGGAATACTGGGAACGGGCGGTGGTTGTGACGATGAGCCGCAATCGTCTGGCTCCATCTGATCTCATCGCGCGCCGGTCATTTCCCTAAAGGGGGCGTTCTTTGTGGGCACGCCGCGGGGGGGCCCTTTACGGGACGTGGGCCGGGAGAGGCGTCGCGGTGTGGCGATGTGGAGACGGACGCCTTTCTGCATGGTGTGGCCCCGGTGGGCGCTTGAGGCTTGAGCAGGAGGTACGTAGCGGGTTGATCACGAGAAACTTGGACTGGGCTTGTTTTATTTATGGAAGCAGGACCCTGCTTTTTTTTCTTTCCGCCGCAAGGGAAGATGGGCGATCGGTGTTCCTGTCGTTCGTGTTGGTGGTGGACGATAGTACAAACACTAATGGTGTGAGAGGTGTCGTCGGTTCAGAGGCGGTGGTGGCGGTGTTCAAACGGCCTGGTTTGGCATGTTTCTGGAAGGGTTTCGCTGCGGAGATGGGAGAGACTGGCGAGGTGAGGTGCCGGGGATGACGCAAACGGTTTCTGGGCGAAGGGCCTCTGTCCGTTTAGCCGTTGCCAAGCGTTGCGCCCACCGGAGACGAAGGACATCCATCTACATAGTACATCTGAGGTACGGATTGAGGCTGACATAAGGCGAGAAAGAGCCCCTGTCTGACAGTGACAGACTGCCAGAGCTAAAGGGCCTGGCATTCCTGCTGCAAAACCTTACGGAGCAGAAGGCGGGACGGTGGGCAAGGGTCCTCCCAGCCTCCTCACTTACTCCCACTAACATATCAGTAGAGACCACCCAGGAAGGCTTGAAATCGAACAATTGGCGGTGTTGGACGTGTATGCGTACTCTGTAGACGCCCAAACAATGCCCAGTCCTCCCGGGCTTCCCTCCTATCCAACCACCGGAGGTTCTTGGCCGCATCCCCCGACTCGCCCGCTGGGCATCTCCAAGGTTCTGCCCGGGCCACTTTGCTGATGACCTGTCGCATCCAGATTATCTCCCATTTCCCACTCTCTCTTGTTCTCCAAGGAAGGCTTATGCAGCCGTTAGGACGCACAGCCACCTGAATGGGAGCGGGACGGCCATTGTGCTGGTTTGCGCCCCCGAGAGATGCAGTCGTAGTGCGGCGGCGGCGGCGGCGTCGGACTCGTGGGAGAGTAGACGATCAAGTTCCCGCCGTCCGAGGGAGAGCATTCCAAGAATCCAAGGGTCCTAGGACGGGCTGCTAATCTAGACATTTTCGGCCCATGAGTCTACAGATTCTATTCCCGCCTCGCATTTTCAGCTACAACCACTTGCAAAACTCTCCTTCCCTCCCTCCCGTGCCCAAAGATGAGCGATGCAGACATGGCCATCTCCTCACATCCTCCATTCCCTCGGGGCGCATCCTTGTCCAGAAATGCTTGGCAAACCCGGACTTCTCGCTTGTCCTGTCCCCCCCAATCCCATGGCTAGACGGAAGAGCTGAGGCGGCCTTTTGCGCAGGACGCCCAAACTCCCTCCTTGGACTGATTAAGTGCATTCGCTTGCCCACTGCGCTGCTGTGCTCGCTTCGTGTTGGCCCTTTTTTCTTCTTTTTTGCTTCTTCTGTACATGTGCAAAAATCCATCACTTTGGGAGTGACGAGGTCGTTCGGAATTGGGCATCTTCCACTTGCAATTGGGTCGGGAACCTCCATTCTCCTGCAGGTCGCTCCTGTGCCACCAGCAACCATTCATTCACCACCCAGGGCAGGTCACATTCAACCACCTGCTTGTTTTCTTAACCTGCCAACCACCACCACCACCACCGCTCCTCTCGAGCCGCAGCCAGTCGCCGTCCATCTTGACATCCGCTCCACGTACCTTACGCAGCCATTCCTTTTCCCCGCTGGACGTCGGCGGTTGGGCGAGGCAGAACCCGACCTTCAAACAACGACCTGCACCACACCTCGACTTTTTGGCGACTCTCACCTTCTCCATCTCACACTCATCCACATTCACTCACCACACCGGCCGTCTTGACTGACCGTTGCCGAATGTAACACACGCACGCACTCAACGGGCCACCACAAAGAAGAAAAAGCGACGCCACCGAAACAAAGGCGCCTCCCAGAGAAACGAAACGGCCGGCCCTTGTCGTTATTACCATTTTATTTTCTCTCTCGTCCCTTCTCGTACCTGAAGCCGCTCCGCCCGCGCCGGCGACCGACTCCGACGTTACAGTCCGCTCAGCACCCCGACCGACCCGACCGTCCGTCCTCACCGACACGACCCCGCAAGCGAATGATCCCACGATAGAGAACCCTTGAGGTCCCTTTTTTCTTGTGTCGACGACTTGGAGGCGGCCGAGTCCTCGTCTGCCGTTGCCGGCCATGGCGCGCCCGCGCATCCCCCATCTCTATGGCATCCTCCAGTTCTGCCTACGCCTGACCCTCGTCGTGTTCGAGGTATGCGCCCTCGCAGCGCTCATCATGCTCTCGCGCTACGGGTTCGACTTTCCCATAGGATATGTCGCGGTATGCTTTAACCCCCGCCTCCTTCCTGATCGTGTTCCATGAACAGGAATAAGAAATTTTCAAAAAGCGAAGCAATTGCTAACACAGACCTCTGCGACAGTCCGTCTCAGGCATCGTCTACTCCATGGCCGAGATGGTCACCCTCGCCAACTCCACCGGCCAGATCCCGCGCCTGCGCACCGGCGCCCTCGTCGTCGGCGACTTCATCCTCTTCGTCCTCGGCCTCGTCGCCTTCTTCTACTTCATTATCCTCAACGGCTGGCGCACCGGCAGCCCCCACCGCGAGTACAAGGCCTGGCGCGACGACCCCCTGCGCGTTGAGAAGGCCACCTGGGCCCCCTGGTACATGTGGCTGCAGCTCATCGCCGCCATCCTGCATTTCCTCTACATGGTCATGCACTGCGTCGATGCCTGCAAGGAGGGCAGCCCGCAACAGCAGCGCAGGCGGCAGGAGAGGCGGCGGCAGAGGGCGTTGCTGAGGGAGAGGGAACGAGAGAGGGATCCAGAGGTTGCGCAAGTTGTGACACAGCCGGCTGGGACTACGACTACGACGACAAGCTGATGATGCCTTTGGGATGAAAGGATTGTTTCTTAACGTATTGGGTTTTGTGCTGGTGTTTTTGGAGTTGGAGAGGGATCTTGATTTTGGTGCATTGGTTGCTGTGGCCCTGAGCAAGTGCTGGTCTAGGCCCCCGAAGGAGCTGTTTTTGAAGGAGAAAAAGTCATGTTTGGATATGGTCACTGGATCGGCGAAAAGAGCCTCGCGAAAGGCATGTTTCCTTGACCTGGAAACGCGTGAGGACTTGCATATGGCCTCTGCAGCTGCTGCGCCTACATTTGCATACATACATACTGGGACTGATACCCGGGGAAAATACCACAACATTCTCATCCATCGAACTGTCGAACACACGCAAATCTGAACTCCCAAGGTTGACTGCAGACAGTTCCGCCGTCCCATCTTCTCTGACCGTCCGATTTCTCGGGCAAACCCCGTTGTTTGAGATGACAGAGAAAGGGTTTGTCCCGTACGGAGAGTTCTGACTCTGGACGTTGAGAGTTGGGATCTTGCAGCCGCGCCTCGCGAAAAAGCTCGGATGAGTTTGAAACGCTGGGCAGTCTGCGGCCTCTGCGTTTCTTGCTTCTAGTGCGTGGGCAAGGTTTGAGGCGATCTTGTTTGGTTCTCGCTCTTGTCCACTTTGGTGGTCTCATGCAAGGGGTTGGTGTGTAGTGGTTCGTGGGGGAGGAAAGTCGCCCTTGTGCCGTGGCTGAAGTTTTCTCTTCTTGTTGATGTGATCGTTTGGGAATGGGAGCCCTCAACTTCGTCAGACTGCAACAGGGTGAATAATTGATGGGTCTATGAGACGGATTCGATCTGGTGTCGTCCGCTTGGACGTTGCCCAGGCCGTACGCTTACTGATGAAGTAGGTTATCGAAAGCCACACGGATATGACCAGTGAGCATGCGATGGGATGTCAAAAGCTGCTCGGACGTTATTCAGCGGATGTGTTGAGACGGAGTCCGATGGGATGAGCCCCGGGGATCCGCGAGTAGGACCCATCAACACTCCAATGTGTCTGCACAGTCGCACCTCAGTCCGAAATCAGAAATACGGTAGCGCATCGATTCTCATTATTATATGCACACAAGTCTTCACGCCTCTCTCTTTGACACTATCACGTTAACAACCTCCCTCCCCGTCCCCCCCTCAACCCACCTCCCACCACCCCCAAACTCGACCCATCCCCTCGTCCCCGTCGGCACATCCCACTCCACGCCCGCGACACTCCCGTTCTTCACCTCCCACCTTGCACTAAACCTTCCCAGCGCCGTCGTGAACCCCGCCTGCGCGGCCTCCACCTCCCCGAACACGGGCTTCAGCCGCCACTCCCGCCCCGCGGGCGCCGTCACGCGCAGCCCGACGAGGTACTCCGTCATCGTGCTCGTCGGGCCCGAGCTCCAGCCGTGCGCGTGCGAGACGTAGCTCGGGTCGTCCGTGTACCCGCGCGTCTTGCGATATCCGAAGGTGCCATCGACGAGGTAGCCCTCGATCACGGTCGACTGCGTCCCGTTCGGGTGGGTTAGGTACCAGCCCCAGCTGTCGCGGATGAGGCGCAGCGCGCGGTCGGGCCGGCCGGCGGCGAAGTGCGCCTCGAGCTCGATGGAGGTGATGAAGGGGGAGACGTTGCCGGGCAGCTCGGGGGAGGCCGGGCCGATGGGGGTCCAGTTGTCGGTGAGGGCGGCGGAGACGGAGGCGGCTTCGGGGGAGGAGGGGGCGAGGAGGCCGAATGCGAGGGCGTAGGCGTTGGCGTCTTGCGGGTAGAGGGTGCGGTTCTTGTAGCCGTCGAAGAAGGCGCCCTTGGCGGGGTCCCAGAGGTGGGTTTTGATTGCGGTTTTGAGGGTCTCGGAGCGGGCGAGCCATGTCGAGGTAAGGTTTGCGGAGGAGGAGGAGGAGGAGTTGGACGGCGCGAGGTCGGCGAGGAAGGCGCCGGTGGTGAGGGTGCGGTAGAGCAGCATGTTGGGCGCGCTGCCGTTCGTGGAGTAGATGTAGCGCGCCCAGTCGCCGGTCGCGGTGGCGTTGAGGATGCCCGTGTCGGGGATGATCTTTGCGCAGATGTAGTCCATCGCGCGGAGGTAGGCGGCCCAGTTGGCCGCGAGCCAGGGGATGTCACCGGAGAAGAGGACGTAGTTGTAGGCGCCGATCATGGTCCACATGTGGTAGGTGTCGCTGGTCGCGTCGAGGTAGGGCGGCCCCGCGCGGGGGAAGATGCCGGAGGGCTGCTGGTAGTCGAACATGGTCTGGAGGGCGTTGCGGGCGCTCTCGAGGTCGCCGGTGCTGACGAAGGCGGAGGGGACGGCGACGCCCATGTCGCCGGGCCAGATCCAGCGGTCGCGCTTGGCGCCGTCGAGGAGGAGGGAGGAGCCGACGCCGAGGTAGGCGTCGTTGAACCAGGAGCCGTTCCAGACGGCCTCGGTGAGGACGCGGCCGGTCTCCGGGGGCGCAGCGTTGGTTTGGAGGGTGTAGGCGCCGGCGTACCAGATCTTGTTGAGGAGGTCGGAGGAGGAGTGGAAGTAGCCCTGGTAGGCGCGGAGGTTGGACCAGGTCGGCTGGAAGACGATCTCGAGGGAGACGTCGTCGATGGCGAGGGTTGGGGCGGTGGTGTTGGAGGTTGAGGAGGAGGAGGAGTTGGTCATGAGGTAGAGGGTGAGGTAGCGGAAGCCGCCGCGGAGCTGGGCGAAGGGGACGGTGTAGGAGCCCTCGCCCGCGGCGGTGATGTTGTGGAAGAGGGCGCCGTCGACGCTGATGAGGGTGGCGTTCGGGCCGCGGTAGTTGCCATTGGAGTTGTCGGAGTACTCGCCGATCCAGTTCTTCGCTTCCGTCCAGGCGAGGCCGAGGGTCGCGGGGCCGTCGCCTGTGTAGGTGTAGTTGACCGTCGTGATGCCGCCCACGAGCACGCCAAAGTCGAACACCAGCGCGGAGCCGTTGCCCTTGAGCGGCTGGGCGCACGGGAACGAGCCGATGGCGTCACCTGTCGCGAGGGAGAGGACGGACTTCGGGCGGGCGGTGCGGGAGTCGGGGGCGTAGATGTTGGCATCCCAGGGGCCTGGGAAGGACGCCTCTGTTGGGTGAGTGCATGTTGCGTTGCGCCAGCAGGACGATGCCAGGGTGCTGGCGACGAGGCTCGCGCCGAGGAAGAATCTCTTGGACGAGACCATGGCGAGCTTGAGGTAAGCCAGGCGAGAGGAGGTGGGTTGAGTGGGCGATCCCAGTCGGACAGGAATGGGTTTATGAACGAAGCATCGCGAGGTGTTATGCCGAACGATGTCACCGCATCCAGGGAGCTGGGATTCAAGAGACGGGACCTGAGCATTTAGCCTGGAAAGCTACCCAGTCCGATCCCCGCGAGACGCCCTTCCTTAACTGGGGTGGTCATGGTGGCACTAAAGACACGAGGTGAGGTGATATTTGCCGGTAGATATGGGCCCCTCTCGGTCAATTCGGGACAAAGTTACGTGAGAAGCCTTCACCAGCTCATCAGCTCGATGATTCGTCTGGGGAAGTGACCAATGATGGAGCTGTCCGGTTTCCACGAGTCACGGTTATTGAGAGAAACCAGGCACAGCTGACCCAATCCAGGCCGCCTAAACGCAAAGTTGCGAAGCCAATGGCAGGGGAAAGCCCTGGATCCAAGGGGCACATCGTCATGTCGGGATATCGGCAGACTCGAAGAGAAATGAGAAGCGGGGAGAATCGTGCGGGGTAATAAGATGGTGGCTGGATCTTTTCGCGGGGGAGGAGGCCGGGGATGCGGGGTTTGGAGAAGGTGGGACACTTGGCGTTCGTCTGATCATTTCGTGTCAGTTCTGGGTTGAAACACTGCTCTTTGGCTTGCTGTATTGGTTCCCGAATGGGGATGTTGAAAAAACACTTCTCATAACGGCTTGGGAATTATCGCACTCGCTGTGAAAAGCTCCTGTAGTTTCGCCCAAAATTTGTATACTGAAAATTCATACAACTTTGTCTACGCCTTCGCAATCGTGACTTCGGCCTTTCCGCTCGACAAGTCAACTTTATATCCACCTCTCTCCTGGGTAGCCCCTGTCACTGCAAATGTCGCTCCTCCCGTGGTCTGAGTAAGCCACACAATGGCCGAAGATGCCTTGAGAGCCGCATCAGACGCAGCTTGGCTGACGCTGAGCTTGACCGTCTGGCCCTCTCGATCATACGTAACGGTGGCAATAGCTCCAGCACTCAACGAGATCTTCAAACCCAAATCCGCAACAAAGACACGCCGGCGAACCGCGTCTCTCGGCTCGGCGACGACAGAAGTGGCGGTTGACTCGACCACGTTGCCACCAAACACCACTTCGCCGTACTTTTCGGTGTTGACAATGTACAGCGTCTGGCCGAGGCCGAGGCCAAGGAACCCGAGACCGTAGTCGCCGGTGTAGGGGTCCCACTCGAGGTGCTCGGGGAACGAGTGGAACGCAGCGGACGGGCAGCCCTCCTCGTCAATGTTGCTCAGGGGCGCGGTGTTGCCGGCGAACGCGACGCGGATGGCGTTGAAGTCGGACGGGTTGCGCTCGTAGTAGTGCAGCATGGGCAGGGAGTTGAGGCCGGAGCCGTAGTGGTGGAGCTGGCGCTCGGTGCCGGCGTGCTTGGCGCCGTAGTTGAAGTCCCAGTACCGGCGGGCGTTGCCGTTCCAGCCCCAGTGGGCGACGGTGGGCATGTACGCCGTGATGCTGTTGATGGCTTTGGTCGCGGTGGTGTTCAGGCCGAAGTAGCTTTCGCAAGTTAGCAAGGTTCACTGGTTCATACTGGAGATTTCATGACTTACTTGGTCCAGTAGTAGACGCCCTCTTGCCCGGTGCTGTCCCACGCCATCTCGCTTCCGAACGGCACGGCAAGGGTCTCCCAGAAGTCGGCGCGGTACTTCATCGAGGCCTCGAGGGTGGACGCCTCCTGCGTCATGTTCTCGCGCTTCAGATCCTCGAGAAGCTCGGCAAAGACCGTCTCGCCCATCAGTCCGGTCAGACCGTAGTCGCAGTCCTTGGCGCCGTCCTTGAGGCAGTACTGCACGGTGTTGAACGCTTGGTTGATGTACCAGCTCCACTCCTCCCGGGTCTTGATCTCGGGGTAGTCCCTGGCCACACGGTACGTGGACCAGTAGGCGATGACGGGGTGGACGTAGTTGTAAGCGCGGACGGTGGTGTATGATCTCTCCTTGTTCCATGCGGCCCAGGTGGTCCAGTCGAGGGCCGAGTCGTACGTGTAGTTGACCGCATCGGGCTGGTAGAAGAAGGTGCTCGCCCTCACGGCAAACGAGTCGGGCGGCTGGATTGTGCCAAGGACGGTCTCGTGGATGAACTCGTCGAGGACCTCGACTTCGCTGGCCACGGGCTGCACGAACAGCTTCGTGGCCGCGGCGACGTACGCACCCGTGCCGCCCTCATCGCTCAGCCCCGCGATCCAGACGCGGTAGTCCTGCTCGACGATGGCGTTGACCTCGCGGTCGTAGCCCATGATGGACGGCGCGCGGCCGAAGGGGTCGGAGGTGTCGTTGAAGTGGGCGGCGGTGGTGAGGAAGTGGCCCAGGTCGGAGACCGTCTGCGTGGCGGCCTTGGTGATGAAGTAGTGGACGACTTGGGTCTTGCCGTCTTCGTAGGTGATGGTGATCTTTGTTCTTCCCCATTTGCCTTCGACAGGGGTGAGCAGGTAGGGCGAGCCCTTGGCGGCCGTGTCCTGCTTCACGGTGAACACGCCAGAGTCGTCGATGGACTTGACGGGGGAAGAGTGCGTGAGGTACAGACGAGCAGTGAGATCTGCGGGTACGACGTATCCCGGGATGCCCACGGCGAGAGGGATGCCCGACTTCTCGACGGCATCTTCGATGGTCTGGATGCTCTCGGCGACAGAGAACTTGAGACCGACAGAGTAGGTCTCGCCTGCTTCCAAAGTCTTGGACGTAGGCGTGTTCCACGGGGCACCACCCTTCCACTCGGTCTCCGCCCAGGCCTTGGAGTGAATCATCCACTCGTAGTTGCCCTCGTACGTTTGGCTCTGGTAGTAGTAGTCACCCTGCGGCTCGCTGAGAAGTCTCCATGCTTCGAAAGGGCTCGAGCCGAGAGGCGCGACGACGAGCGCGTTGCCGGTTCCCTTGACGGGAGACACACGAACGTAGCCGGCGTCAAGACCGATGTACGGATCCGCGAGAGAGCACTTGTCCTGAAGGTTCTCCGCCTCGCGCGTGCTGAAGACATTGTTGATGGAGACGGGAAGGCCAAGGGATCCGAGCTCGACGGTGCCGTTGCCTGTGTTGGTCAGGTTGATGCGCAGAGCCAGGCTGTCGCTTTCGGTCAGCCACTCTCTCGTGATGGCGAGAGGGATGCCGCTGGGCAGCGTAGGTCCCAGGTCCGCGCCGGCAAGGACACCGGATGCGAGGCCTTCAAGAGCCTTCACGGGTTTTCTGGCCTGGGCAGAGTCGACGCTGGTCCAGTTGCCGGCACCGGCGACCTTGTAGCGAAAGGTGACGTCTCCGAGGTAGTGGGCGCCTTCGGTGTGCGTAAGGTTGGAGAGGAAATCCGAGGGGAGAAAGTCGTGGCCGGAAGCGACCTTGAGCGAAGCGAGAGTCTGGGAGTCGCGAACGAACTGGCCGCTGACCTGGCCCGTCTTGTAATCAATGAAGCCATTCGCGATGCCGAGGTTGTCTTGGCCGTTGACAAGTGCTGCAAGAGCCAGCGTCAGAGCCGGGCCCAAGCCTGAGAACCGAGACATGGTGAAGGACGAAGAGAGTCAAGCCCTTGTTCGCGCAACGAGCCGTACCTTGCATGCATGTCGTACATCATCGGACGGCAGTACCTTGCTTTTAAGTCTTTCTTGTCTTCATTGGAGGTTGCGACATGCAGCCCTCCGGCCCCCTTGTCGATATGCGCTACTCCCCCATTCGCCCGCCAAGAAATGCCGTTTGGTGACATTGTGATGGAAAGTAATCGTTCCATCCGTTGTGGAGTGGCCCGGCGACTCAATCTAGAAGCTCGGGTGGCATTCATACGAAGGAAAAATATAACGGCAATCGGGGAATGGCCCGATTGCTTCGGCTATTAGCAAATGATCGGCATGCGCCCATCCTTGTTTATGATTGGGGGCTCGCCTCGGTAGACCTCATGTAAGGTACCTGAATGCGACCGGGCGGAGCTTGTAATTATACGAATAAGCCTTTTGCTTTTGTGTTTGAATTCGGGCAACTGTGTGGTGATTCATTGCAAGCTAAACCCCGGATTTTGCCTCGCCTTAATCGACTTTAGATTAAGACCGAATCATGGAAACTCCACCTCCAAAGTCTGGAGATATTTTGGCCCGGCGGGATGATCGCCTACGCCGACGGAAGTGTCCGTTTAGACTTCATCTCAAAGTTAAAAAGACCAGACGAACACGTCGGTTTCGGTTCGAGCTTCCCATTGGCCTGGCAGTTGGAGAATCCCCGACGAACATCGTTGCTTGATATGATTCATAAATCTGATTCAGCTTCAATTACCAAAAGGTCCCCGATCCAATATAAACCGCAACGCCGACACATTAAGCTTCCCAGAACCTTTGTCCATCTCATGCCTGATCATCCATAACCGTAAATGACATCCACTCATTATCCTCCCATTCCATAGAATTAACCACATCAATAATCTGCTGGGCCGTCAGATCCTCCGCCTGGCTGCTGCTGTCTTTGGTAAACTCGGGAAACGGCGGCTGCGGCACCGGCTCCTGAACAGCGGCCGCGGCATCCGTTGGCTGTTGCTGCCATTCGGCACCTTGGGTGTCCTCGGGAAGGCCCGCAACGCGAGGCTGCGTCGTGGTGAAGTTGCTGAGCATCTCCTCCAGCTTTTGCATCTCATTCCTGCGGAACCCCGCGATCAGGTTGCCGCTGGCCACCATTTCTTCGATTATGGCGTGGGATTTCTCTAGCCATGGAGATTGACTTTCAATCAGACGGGAGTCGACCGCTCGGGCGACGAGGAGGGCGACGGTGGATACGAATAGGGAGTCAAGGTCGAGGGGTAGGAAGGTTTCTACCATCTGAATTAGCTCTTGGTTGTTTCAATATGACTTGTTGCCAGGTGAGATCTTACCTAGTAATCCCTGAGCTCGTAGCCTGTCGAGGATGTTGAGGATTTGAATAGAGGATTCGGCGCACATTTGGACGGGGTTTCGAACTTTTGGTGATGCTATCAGAGAGTCCGCCTCGAGTGGTGACTCGAATCTCTTGATCAAACAGCATAGGAGCAGGGGTCTTGTTGCGAGGACGATGCACTAGGGGAGAGATGTTAGTCCATTGGACCACCAAGGGGAAACCATATGTTTACTCACCTGGTAGTAAGACAGGTGCAAGTGCGCAGAGAGTCTCGAGATCCCATCAAATCGCTCGTCCGCATGCAGTGGGAACGAGGTACGAAGCTCATCTGCAACTGACACAATGCTCTGAAGCACGGCTTTGGTGCCGAGCACGAATCTCTTATTCAAGCGACCTGTCGTGCCGTAAACAGCTGTGAGATGGAGGAGGATGATTAGCAGAGTTCGGTATCGCAGAGACGTCGAACTTACTGCTGCTGATCTCAGCAATGATGCGGGCGAACTTTATCTGCATGCTCAATGCCGTCGTGCGTTGTACTGATCCCGAGTAGGAAGGCAACTGGCAGTAGACACCTTCGTCCAGAGTTGACTGGGGCAACCCCATCAACGAGCTCATCTGACGATCCAATACGTACACTGTCCACCAGATCTTGCGACATCTTTGCACCAGTTCCGGGCCAAGCTCCATGATTGGCATGTCGGTATGCATACCATGATTCATCGCCATGCTCTTTGCCTGCCCAATCTACCAGCGGATTAGCATTTCTTGGCTACCCACTTCAAAAAGCTTGTTGGTTGACTTACAAAATTGTGAGCAGCATGTCGAAAGTCCAATGCTTGATAGTACCAGGCAATCGAGCACAAAATCTCCGAAGACAAAATGGGTTCTTTGCACAGAGCGGTAACGTCTGGCAAGAGCTGGAGAGCCCTGACAAAGAAGTCCGCCCCTGATGGTCTCTTCCCTTCACTCTTCCTCTGGATCAGGCTTTTGCCAAAGGCGAGAATGACGAGAAAGTGGATGTACCAGAGGCTGGTATCCTCTGCTCGGTCAGCAGACGACTTGGCGTAGAAATTCTGCATGTTGACCATGAACTCGTCCACTTCGAAGAGATGAAACATTTGGCCGCAGTGAAATTTGACGGCGTTGATCAGAAAGATGGCATAGTCGATGCTCGGAATGAAGCGGCTGTCGAGGGCCTGCGTGCTTCGTGAGCCGTCCCATCCGAGGTCATAGGCGCAGCCGTCGAACAAGAGACTATTGGTAGGAAGAGGAGATTGGCAGACATGGTCGTGGGTAACGCTGAGAACATGCCGTGAGAAAGACCAGTTGGATCCTGGGGCGAGAAAGTCTGCGTCCGTCAGCGTTGAGATGGCGGAGTATGAAGAGTGAGAAGCACTTACAAGCCATTCCATTGGACGCTGAAAGACAGTACCGGGACGGCGTCGCAGTGAGAGGGTTCGTCAGATCTGGACCGTCGCCATCGGAATTCCGGGGCGGTGAGTCCCTTCGCGCTGCCTCCGGGCTGTGATAGCTAGCGCGACGATTCTCATCATATTGCGATGGGTCTCCAAAGCCATCTTCTCGAAGTCAGCAGTCGCCCACTTCCAAGAAGCCAACCGTACGTACCGTCAGGGTTGTCGACATCCTCGCCACGTCTGATGCTCTGCTCAGCCAGCGCCCTTGCTTGAAGGCGCTCTAGGCGTGCGATCTTCTGTTGTAGTTCAGATAGGTATCTAAGCCAGTGACAGTCAGTACTTTTGTCGTCAGAGCTGTAAGGTTGGGAACCGACCCTTGCGTCACCATAACCTTGTTATCGCGCTCATCGAATATGCAAGTCAGCCGCCGCTGAGTACAATTATTGCACGGATGCAGTCCCGAGCACTTGATCTTCTGCCTCCGACATCGTGAACAGCTGGCGTGTCAGTCGTCAGTAGCTATCTCCCGCTGATGAGACCACGTTATGTCGCGACTCACGCGTATGACGACCGCTTCGTAATTCTTCTCTGAGTATTAGACGACTCCATCTGGAATTATTCTGCTTCCATGAGCATCAGTCGTCTTGGTATCGCCATCACAGGTGGGTATCCGGGAAGACAGACTGCCCAGTCCCCCAGATATCCGTCGTTTGGAGGTGGTGCGGGGTCGGAGGTGCCTCCTCATCGGCCGGGCCGTACGCCCTCCCTCGAGCCAGCTGCAGATAACGAGGACCCACTGATAGGAGCGCTTATCTAGGGACATCCCAGAAGCTCGCTATCTCCAGATGCCCTTTCGAGCATTTTGTAATGTCATTAGCACGTCGGGTGGTTGGTGGGATGCGGGGTGCATATCAGTCCGTGCCGTTGACGGGTGGTGGTCTTGGCTATTGGCGCTTTCCTGGCCGGCCGCCCCTTGTGAGTAGGGGACTTGACGCAGGGCGTGCAGAACACGCGTCGAAGCACCGGGCCGGCGACGATTTCAGCGGTTGGTGTTGGCTATTATCGGGGGCCAATGGGGCATAGAACGGGAACAGGGAGGTCCTGGATTAGTGCCGATTGGATGACAGGGGCCCTGACTGAGGAGACTCTTCAGACCTCCTTCTGGAACACATGGAAGTCTTTTTGGATCAAGTATCTGGAAGTATCGAGTCTTGCTTACCAAAGAAGCACTGCCGTTCAGAAAAGCTCGTATCACCGGCATGCTTGAAAACCTTTCTAGAATTCAAGCATAGGCAGGATAATATGTTGCGATTCCGGCTTCGTATGCGTTCGAATGTCAGATAACATCTAAGGCAAAGCAAGGTGTGGTGAGAGAGCCGATGAATTCAAACAAATTGGAAGCCTTTATGTAGCAGCATCAACTCGGGCCGTAGCCAGAGCTTGTGATTTCGCTTCATAGCTGGCTGAATTCTAGGGACAAGACGTCCTCCCCAGGTTGATAGTCGAAGCTACCTACGCATCTGAGATGAGGAAGGCAAGCAAATTGTACTACATGGTATGGCTCCCATGTGCTACAATCTTCCCTTCCAGTATAAATCCTTTGCCCAGTCGATGTTTGAATCTCTCATGGATTGTTCCAAAAGATTCCATGGAATGTTTCTTCTGAAGCCAGACTTGTGTTCCTTCCAACACATGCCACAAAGACAATGGGAAGCTTAATAATGAGGCGCCCTGCTCGGGGAATTGTCACTCCAAAGATTTGGGCTGTTTGGAAGGGCGGGGCCTTTGGTGAGTTGATGAGCCAATCACCGCTGAAGACCTCTCTCGACAACAACAGACCTCAACTCCTGGCTCACCTGTCTGCACGACTAAGCGATGCCCACGACAACACCATTTTTAGGCTAGACTTTTGTTGTCTTTTGTTTGAGGAAGGAGTGGCCGCTGAAAGGGTTTTCTTCTTGCACCCACAAGAATTTTGAAAATTCTTCTCCCTCCCACATCCTCCGATTTTGCTGTTTTGCTTTCCACCAAACCCATCGTCTCGAGGACGAGCGACAAACACAACTTGCTTTTCGCGCAGCTGGACTCGACAGTTTGCTTTGAGTAAGTCTTCGTATGCTTCAGGGGGGAAAATCGACCTATTTGAATATCAAGCTGACATTCCTGGAAAAGGCAGATCCGCGAAGACATCTTGCTCAACATCAACGGGCGAGCAACAAACACACCTGGCATTTTGCGCAGCTGGACTCCATAGTTTGCTTTGAGTAAGTCTTTGAACGCTTCGAGGAAAAGCCGACCTGTTTGAAAACCAAGCTGACATAGCCAGATCCGCGAAGACGTCTTGCTCATCATCCATGGACGCCAACATGAGCTACGACGTTCCCTACGAGGACCAGAACTCCCTGTGTGAGCAGGGTCACCATGGCTATGCTTCTCATGATGGAGACGAAGTTGGCATGAGCATGGACTTCCACATGGCCAACAATAACGAGGTTTCTGATGCTCACAACGCATTCGCCAAACAGGAGGACGAGCAAGCCTGCCGCAGTGATGACACCGTCGCCCAGGACGAGCGCATGGTCGAGAATACATCGACCAACGATCAGCAGACTAATTTCGCTAATCATCCGAACAAACACGTGGACCCCGCCGTGGAGGCAAAGCTTATCGATGACTTCCATCGCCTCGCAGCGGAGATTCTCGTCGCTTCAAAGGAGAATAAGGGTCCGCCTGCCCAGGACATCTACAACAGCCTCGAGCAGCACTTCGGCTACATTGAGTGGCGGGCCGATTTCATTGTCGGAGATGTTCGTCGCCGTCTGATGGACACTGTGCTCGTCATGTTTGACCCGGATTCCCTTGAATCTCAGCAGTACATTGATACCAAGAGCCAGGAGCGGGCGTTTAAGTTGTGGGAATTTTGGGCCTTCACCAACTTGAGCCAGGTGGATGAAATCACTTTTGCTGCTATGGACGACAGCGATCGAAAGTATTGCATGGTTTTCAACAAGGAGTCCATCATCATGCCTGGCTCAATGCCAATCTTCCACCCTCAAGCTTGCTACAAGGCCCCGGAAGCTGACATGAGCATGGGAGATTATGATTCCATGGCTAACCATGAGACCGTGGTCTCTGAGGATACTTCGCAGTATCTTGGTCAAGCCGAAGATGGTGTATATCACTCGCACTACTCACAGGGCCCGATGGACGGACAAAATTTCTACCACATGTCGCTCCACGCTTACCCGGAGGTTCCCACCTGTGTTCATGACCCCCTCAACACGGAGGATCACATGGATGATCACATGGAGGATCACATGGAGGATCACACCAACGTGCAAACAGCAATCGATCCAATCGCTCCAGTTGCTATGCAAGCTAAGCCGAGCAAACACAGAGCTGCCAAGCCCCGTCGGAAGACAGCCAAGGCTGCTGCCGTGAAGAGTGACTCGAACAGCAATCCTCCCGACGGCCTCTACGTTCCCGACAAACATCACGAAATGTTCGGCGAGAACGGTCCTTTTCGAGGCATCGCTTACGTTCTGAAAGCTGGCAAGAGAAGCTGGGTGGCCCATCCCGATTATGTGTCAGTTAAGTCGAGAGTCTTTGGGGACAATCACATCCCCGTCGGCAAATGGTGGCCGGCTCAGATGGTCGCCTGTGTCAACGGCGCCCATGGTAACTGGTTCGGCGGAATTACTGGAGACAAGGACCAGGGTGCTCACTCAATCGTCAAATCCGGTGAGACTTACGACAGTCTCAATGAGGACCAGGGCAACACCATATTCTACTCTGGATCAGGCGCCCACAAGTGTACAGACAACAAGCCGAAGAACTCTGACGGCACTGAGATGCTGTACAAGTCACTCAAGAGCAACCGGCCTGTCCGCCTGCTCCGTGCAGCTGCCAAGAAGGGCAAGAACGGTCTTTACAGCCCCAGCGTTGGCATTCGGTATGATGGCCTGTACGATGTGGTTCGTCGCACCAAGGCCTTCAACGACAATGGCGGCGCCTACTAGAAGTTCGAGCTCCAGCGTCGCGATAACCAGACCGACCTCGAGGAACTCTGCAAGACTCCCACCAAGGAGCAGCGTGCCATTCACGCTGCTATGAAGGAGGCATACCCGGCAACGAACAAGAGATCCAGATAGTGTGTATTTCACACACGGTGGAAAGTGAGTGTCACGGGTGTCTATCAGAGAACCAGGATGGGAAAGTCACTTGGCTTTCAATTTGCTCGCATTATCCGCCCATGAGAGTAGCGACAGTTCTAAAGCACATTGGGGACTTTTGTTTTTTGGAAGCCATAAGACCATTGATCAGGGTGGAAATATCATTTCTTTTTTGGGATTGCCTAGTCTCACGATTGAGGATGGATGTACATAGAGTCTACTGAACCTCGACCGTAGCTAGACAATCAAGCATACCCACCAGCCAGTGCCTACGTTCTCGCATTGTGACTTTCTGGATTGAGCCGTGATAGAAAGCCAAGGAACATTATCAGGACAAGGGGTGATGCAAGAACGGGTGGCCCGAATGCCTAATCTCGGAGATCGGGAAGGACTCCGAAGTAACGTATGATACGGCAAATGATCAGCGATATCCATACTTCGACAACCAACGTCCAGCTCATGACTTCGGGCGGTCTTTAAGACTTGACTTGGCAGCCTTGATGATTGGAGCGGATAGTTGATCAGGTCCCATGGAAGTCGAAGTAAGCTCTCCCCGCTCCGGATTTCTGTTGGCTAGCCCCCCGGCGATGCGAAATTGCCCACTGTGACGTAATTGTGCACTCAAGGCTCGTATTGACCTTGAAGCGAAAGCTCTCAATGCTGAATAGACCAAGAATGAAGACCTGAGCCGGTCGCATCGCGCCCGGCTCATGGGGGAAATTTGTCCAACAATCGGGCTTCCCATTTGGTTGATAAATGAAACGTACTGTGATGCATGCCCAAGAAGCATGGCCGAGCTTCCTAATCCATCAACCACGAGCCAGTGATATGTAATGGTGCACTTATAATGAAGGGTATCGCCGGCGTGGAAACAAGCCCGTCCAGTAATGCGAAGCTGCCAGCCTGGAACTTCTTCACTCTGAACGTCACCACCAGTATGAGACTCCAGAATCTCATCGCCGCTCTCCTCGCATCATGCGTAACACCAACACTCACTGCTGTCTTGCGACCAAGACAGGCGCCGGGTGCTGCTGAGGGTGTGATGACGATCACTAGCCCTGGAGGCTCCCAAATCCGTTTCAAGGAGCCTGGCAAAGAGGGAATATGCGAGACGACGCCTGGCGTCAACTCCTACAGCGGATACATCGATATCGCCCCTGATGTTCATGTATTCTTCTGGTTCTTTGAGTCACGGAGAGATCCTGCAAATGACCCTGTGAGCTTCCAACGTTCGACCTGTCAGACTTGACGGCCGTGGAGCTAACGTAACAGGTAACACTCTGGCTCAACGGCGGTCCTGGATCCGACTCTCTCATTGGACTGTTCGAGGAGATCGGACCTTGCGAGGTGGTCGAGAATATGACGACGGTTCTGAGAGACTACTCCTGGACTGAAATCTCCAACGTCCTTTTCCTTTCCCAGCCAGTTGGAACAGGTACTTCCTCCAAGGTCTTGACAACTACGTGTTCTGGAGACTGACTGTCACAGGCTTCTCCTACAGTGAGAAAGAGGTTGGTTTCCTTGACCCAACCTACCTCCTGGTGGACAAGGAGCCCGAGAGTTCAGATGAGCGAGAGGGTCGCTGGGCAGTTATCGACCCAACAAAGGAAGATACAAGTCGTCTAGCTGCCATAACCTGCTGGGAGGTTCTGCAAGGATTCTATGATGCTTTGCCGCAACTGAGCACGTCAAACATCTCCTCTATTGACTTTCATCTGTGGGCTGGTGAGTAAGCTGATCAGATCCGACTGTCCCCGAGTCACTAATGGAATTTCAGAGTCATTTGGTGGCCACTGGGGCCCGGCGTTCTACACCCTCTTCAATGAGAAGAACTCCGAGCTCGATGAAAACACCGCGACAGGCCGCAAGTTGAACTTGAAGAGCCTCGGCATCGTGAATGGCATTGTTGACGAGCACACCCAGACGCGGTACCTGCTTGACTTCACCAGAGGAGAGAACAATGGATACGGAGTTGATCTGATCAACGACACCATCTACGATTACGGAAAGTTGAACCGTGATCGCCCTGGTGGATGTCAAGAGAAGCTTGACTATTGCGACTGGCTTGAGAGGGACTCTATCGTTCGCCGTTCAGCATGCTCAGCCGCCCAGTTTATCTGCCAATCCGACGTCGAGGGGATGTTTTACACATTCAATCTCGAAGGCCGTGGAACTTATGATATTGTGAGCCCCCCACCACTGATGAGTTGTGCTAGACTAATCAGACACAGCGCTTCCGTTCAGGAGAAGACGTTCCGCCCAACTACTGGAGGGTAAGTAGACGAAGCCTGGCACCAGAGCAATTGCTAACCATACAACAGCCCTACTTGAACACCGGACCAGTCCAAAACGCTCTTGGCGTGGACCTAAACTATACGTCAAACAATCTGCTCTACACAGCTTACACCCTCTCTGGAGACTTCGCCGTCGGCTACCTCCCAGACATCGAAAAGCTTCTTGAGCTAGACGTACAAGTTTCCCTGGTCTTTGGAGATGCAGACTACATCTGTAACTGGCTCGGCGGAGAAGCGCTCTCCCTTGCGGCTGAGTGGTCTGGTGCCGAGAACTTCCGTGACGCTGGATACACGGAGCTTACGGTCGATGGGGTTGCCTATGGAGAAACGCGGCAATACGGAAAGCTGAGCTTCACTCGAGTCTGGAACGCAGGCCATGAGATCCCATGTAAGCCACTGCGAACCCCGGTGATGTAGCGCACCAAGCTGACAGTCACCAGATTTCCAGCCAAAGGCTTCATTCCAGATTTTCAACCGAACTACCAACCGTTTTGATATTGCGACGGGTGAAGTTGTGATTACTCCTGATAGCACCTACAAGACGAACGGAACAGCAAAGACAACGAAGACGACTACTCTGCCACCTTTGCCAGCTCAGACGCAAGCCTAAAGGATAAGCACGAAACCCGACAGGCAGTGCAATCAACCGGCGTTTCAAAAGATGGATAACAAAAATGATTCGTCAAGTGCTGAATCTTCTTGCATGCTTTATGAAGAGTCAAATATGTGCATGCCTGAGTATGTTCAAGCTTGAGGATAAAGTTGAATAAAACAGAGAAATCGTAGTTCTGACTGCAAAAGAAATTCGCACTTGACGATTGTCTTCACCTGCTGCTATTTGTGTCACTGTACACAGAAAACCATTCGGATGACATGCATCTTTGCTGATATATGCCCGTGTGATTACCCCGTTAAGAAAAACCCTCTACGTTTCCTAGGTATGGTAGAGCAACTACTTTTCCTGTGTGCTCGTACATAAGATACCTTGCAATAGTCGTCGTCATTGTTGTAGTCACTGACTCACTACTACTACCGTTCTCTTTCGAAATATAAGCCCAGACTTACTAATACACCGCAAACATGCCGGCCAGACAAGGAAACATGGATGGTTTTGGTTCAAAACACTAAACAAGGTCTTATGTAAATCCAGACATATGACGCCATACACGACAGTATTTCTCCCCATTGATACAAGAGACAATCTTTTCATGATGTACTATTTATGACAGGGAACTGTGCTATGTGAAGCTTCGCAGTTGCGTATGGCACCAACTTCGCTCTGAAAGGCTGGCTTTGAATCTTCTTCTCTACATCGACAGGGTCTGCTGCAGTTCCGTTCCGAGTTGGCCAGCTGACCCAAGCAGCAGAGACCTCAAGGTGCACAGGAGATGCTCCCGAATTCCACAAAGGATCAGGAAGTTCTGAAACTTTCCTATCGCCGTTCTGCTCCCATGGACCCTTGTGTACTACGACCTCAACACCCTGTGTTGGATCGATAGCAATATTCCAGTCAGCAGTTGGTAAGTAGTCGTGGTCACGGGTATGTGTCATCCATGGCTCCTCGTCTTGGTTAGCCACGGAAGAAATTTCGGTACACTCTGAAGCTTGGTCCTTGTAATTGCGTGGCAGCCTAGTCTCGGTTTTGAATTCGATCTCGTACGCGTAAAGCAGAGGTCCGTAGTGAATACTGACTGAGCCGTTCTCATGCTTCTGAACACGGACCCCCGCATGGATTGTGACGAACACATCAAAGTCGCCGGCCGCGGGTATGTCAATCTTATGAACATGGCCGCTACTGTCCTTCTTGTTTTGTATGAATGGCTGCGGCATTGCTGAAGCAATCGAGCCTGAGCCCTTGGACTCGATCGTAGAAGATGGAAAGGCCCAGTCTGGAACTCTGATTAAGAATTCAAATGGCTTGCTGGTGGAGATGCTGTAGCGAAGCGCACACGGGGCAAATGGGTAGTTCGAGTCACAGTTGATAGTGATATCCTCAATTTCCAGCCTGGATGGTATAAGATAGGCATGAATGATGGATGTCATCCCTTCCGGGGTCTGTCTCCAGAGGAATGCATTCATCAAGAGCTTAGGGTAAGCAGTGGGGTGATTGACTGTGCAGCAAGGCTACTCGGGAATTCATCAGCAGACCTCTTGTTATGGACTTTATGGCCACTTACAAACTCAGGTTCTAGCCCGAAGACATTTGCGTACCGGCAAACATCATAGAACGGTGTTTTCTCGCCTTTTGGAAGCTCCAGCTCTTTGGCCCAGGGCTGGTTGACCTGCGTGATGTACTGATGACTCCACCAGTCTGCACTGATACCAGCAGGTACGGCATTGAAGGCTGCTGACTCTACCATATCGGCGAAGTGGTTGTCTCCGAAAAGCTGGTAAAGGTAGGATATCGAGAACATTAGTTCCACAGAGCAACACAGCTCGGAGCCCCGCTGCGGCGAAAGCCCGCCGATGTACTCATCGCTGCTGATGGATCCTGCAGCTGTGCCATGGTAATCAAAGGTCTTCTTAACAGCATCTCTACAAAGAGATGCGAGA